TGATAGATAGATAGATAGATAGATAGATAGATAGATAGATAGATAGATAGATAGATAGATAGAATACAGAAGCCTGATGATGGCAGATGAGATTCTGCTGAAACGTTGCTACAACTTTAAAAGCACAACTACAATGACGTGGGAAAATACCCGAACAAAGCTGAATACCATACATAGATAGAATATTACATACATACACATACACACATAAATAGAGAGAGAATAGAACAGTTGTTGGGGCTCCATCACTGGAGGTTTTTAAAAAGACACTGGACAGCCCCTTGTCTGAAATGGGGCTAGGGTCTCCTGCTTTGAGCAGGGGGTTGGACTAGAAGACCTCCGGGGTCTCTTCCAGCTCCATTCTGATGGATTGATGTTGTTGAAGATTACCTTAAAGCTAAATACACTGGAAAGCTTTCCAGGAAAACATCTCCATGACTGCAGCAGCAGCCCCCGATATATTTGAACTGTGGCTAAAGTACCTTCCTATAATGATGTTTTCCTGGCAGTTTATCTTTTAGCCCCCAAAGCCTGATTAGCTTTTTCTGAGTCTGTGGGCAGGAAGCGAAACGGGCGAAGGGCAAACAGAGAGAGCGCCTGCCGAAGAGCATTTTGCAGCCACGCTGTCATCCTCTAAAGAGGTCATAAAAAGAGATTTTTTTTTATTTTTTTGCAAAGAGCCAGTCATGTCTTGGCTTAAAAGTCAACATTAAAACCCATAAAAGCTGCAATTACACCAGCGCAAGGCTGCATCGTCCTTCCTAACCCCCGAACACGCACGCAAACGGTCTATTTAACTTTGTGGGGGTTGCTTTCAGCCCTGAGCACCCCCCCAACCCTGAGAAATGGATGGAAAAATATGGGTGTTTGTTACGCTACTCCCTCGCCAGACCTGGGAGAGGCCGCATATATTGTGTGCAAGGTCACAGGTGGTTGAATTTTTTTTTGTTTTTTGCAATGCATTTTTTATTTTTATATTTTAAAAGCATCTCATTAGGTGAGCTACCAGGTTTTCACAATTCAATACAAACGTGACCATGATTACAGACTCAGCTTTCATATCCAAATTCGTATCATGTTATTGCTTCTTCCATTTTTCTTTTAAATATTCTCATACATCGTTTAACAATATTATCCACATTCTTATTCGATTTCTATATTCATTGCTCTTATTTCATCCAATTTCATTTCTTTTTTTAAACAAGTTTTTATTT